CAGAGGCTGCTCCAGCCCAGAGCACCCCCTGTCTGTGGTGTGCCCCTGCGTCTGTTTCTTCAAGAACTCCCCCTAAATGGTAAGAGCTAAGATCACCAAATTTGGTATGCAGCTTTCTCTTATCATAACTAAAAGCAAGGTAAGGGTTTGATTGTGGGGAGGTGGATTGAAGCTTCCCCGCCTCTCCTGATTCATACAGGGATGCATAAACCATGCCCAGAGCACCCCCTGTCTGTGGTGTGCCCCTGCGTCTGTTTCTTCAAGAACTCCCCCTAAATGGTAAGAGCTAAGATCACCAAATTTGGTATGCAGCTTTCTCTTATCATAACTAAAAGCAAGGTAAGGGTTTGATTGTGGGGAGGTGGATTGAAGCTTCCCCGCCTCTCCTGATTCATACAGGGATGCATAAACCATATAGAAAAGCGACAGAATGACCAAGCAGATGAAAGGGACTGTCTCGGGATGCTCCGCCCCCATCATGCACTTACCATCCCTAAATCTCCTATTCTCCAGGCACACTTTACTGAGGGCAGGGGGGGCTAGAGCTTCCCCTTATATTCATACAGTAACATAGCTGGTAGTTCCCCTTCGTCAGGGAGCAATGGGAAAATGCACAGTTTACTCCATTCCTCAATCTGGCTGAGGAGCTTGGGGGCAGATGAATTTAGATGTGACCCAGGTGGGTGTACATGCACCCCTCCCCCAGCTGTGCCCACAGGACCAGCAGTGACCATGGAGAGGCACTTCTCATCTGGCCCCAAATTGCTGTGGTGAGAAAGGGCTGGGATAGTCCTCTGTCCCAAGGGAAGCCTATATAGTTAATCCCTCATCGCCAGCCCCACCCCAAACCAATGATTTAAATGAAGAAAAACAAAAATTAATTGAGTTTAGGACATGAGAAATGCCGGGTGAATCTTATAGTATTATTATAAAGGCAATGTTGTATGATACTACACTGAAATGATTTACATACAAACTCTCTTAGTCTGAGATACACATATAGAAATTTAACTTATAATTTTCAGAAAAAAACAAACACGTAGAAATATTTTTCTTGAACATACATGGGGGAATGAACTTCTGATTTAAAAAGCCCAAATTCTTACCTGATTATATGCTTGATAGATAATATCAAATACGAAAGCCTGAGGCATTTCACTTGCTCTGTACCTAGCACGTTCTAGTGAATGATCTAAGGAACCATCCACAGAAGAAGCAACAACAGTAGAGACGAGAGGACGGATTGCTCCAGCTGCCTAGGAAACAAAACAAAAAACATCTTAAATATATTCTTAGATGTTTACCTTAACTAATTTCTGCACAGAGAACAAGCCAAAACAAATTTAACATATTAACTCTCTAGGGCAGTGCTGCCAGGTGGTAAACTCTTCTTGAGGCATTCTAAGTATCCACCATTCACTTCAGAGCAGAGCAGGTGCAGTATTGCTATGCAGGGAGGGAGTAATCTATTACTAAAATAACAGTGATATTTTACTTCTTCTCCATGACCTTCCATTACCAAAATCTGCTCTTGATTGTGCAAGAATGTGTCTCTCAATTAATATTGCTGCTTTACCCCTCCTCTGCTAAACCACTTAATAATAAAGCAGGGCAGAGACAGCAAGTATAGTTAGACAAAATTTACTCAAATAAACTGAGCTTTTATGAGTTATGAAAAAAATTACTTAGTTTATACATTTGCATGCACAGAGGGAAGACACATAATTGAGATGAATCCCTGGTACTCAAGAAGCCATGGACCTATGCATAAGATTACAATGGACAGTTCAAGGGGAATGGCAGGACCTGAGAATTCAAATGCCAGGAAAAGGATCTGAACAAAGTTCTTGCATGAAGAGCTTCTCTTCTTTATGAGAGCAGGTAAGAGAGGGCTCACAAGTTGTATTGGGGTAAAAGAAACATTTTTTCACATGCCAGAGCAGATTATTGCATCAGAAAGTCAATAAGATGGCAATTTTCATTCTTCACGAATTAATCAGTAGGCTACAAATCAACTAAGAAATAAAGCATTAGCAGATGTACTGCCGGGAACAAACCTATTGAGGTAGGTAAATGGACTAGGTGATCTAAGACACTGGATCTTTTCCATCTCTAATTTCTGATTCTAATGTGCTGGACTATTATTCTTATATCCCAGTTGCTGGGCCTTTGGATAATGTTATTTATTTTAGTATGTTTTAATTGCCCACATACAAAAACAATATAAAATTCAAAGGTCTAAGCTGTTAAATCTATTTAAATGTCTAATAAAAGGTTGGGTTTGTTTTTTTTAAATGGTAATACCAGGAAAATCACATTTTGTCAAATAAGCTTTCCTAGGCTCATTCAATATTTTGTTATAATCTCTTTGTCGATCATGCAAGGTTACATCCTAACCATAGGAACATAGGGCTGGAAGGGACCTCATGGGCCAATTAATTCAGTTCTAAATCTATTTAAATGTCTAATAAAAGGTTGGGTTTGTTTTTTTTAAATGGTAATACCAGGAAAATCACATTTTGTCAAATAAGCTTTCCTAGGCTCATTCAATATTTTGTTATAATCTCTTTGTCGATCATGCAAGGTTACATCCTAACCATAGGAACATAGGGCTGGAAGGGACCTCATGGGCCAATTAATTCAGTTCCCTGTTAGTGCAGGCAACCCCATCACAAATATGTCTCTTTTGGGGATGGTGAAGAAGGCTGCAGTGAGGCAATTCAGCAAGTGTCATGACCCTAGCCCATTGGATTTCATATCTGAGTATGTTCTAGACATTTCAATGGTGGTGTTGGTTTGGAGCTAGAAGACAATAATGGAGTCTTATGTGTCTTTCAGTTGATACAATAATATTAATTAAAATGTATTGTGAGCATAGTTTTGATCACTAAAAAAGTTTGGTGGATTTACTCACAACTCTTTTCTTTTTTTAGATATCCTGGGGTAGTTTGGGCAATTGCTCATCTGCTTTAAGAGCTCTTTCGTGTGCTTCACATATCCTGCTCAACACAGATGAGAAACTAATAGATGGCCCTGTAATCCCAGCTTCGCATCTCAATCTCGTCTACTCAGATGGTGCATGGAAGCAATCCACCCCAACATTTAACTGAGGCTGGAGCCTATTTATGGTTTAATCTATGCAAAATTGATGTAGAGCTGATAGACAGAAGAAAGTATCAAGAAGTGATGGCAGAAACCATTTCAGTACCTCTGATTTTCTACTTGGGTTACCAATTTGTGGGTATGTGACCTGGCTACTTAAGTAGTAGGCTTGCCCAAGAGTACTTTAAATAAGTAAATAAATCATGTGAAAATAGTATGACTTTACTTTCAATGGGGAACCTCAATACAGTTTTCCAAATCTTTTTAGTAGTCTAAAAGTTGTAGCCATAAATAGGCAACCGCTAGTTTTAAAATGGACAGTGATCTTGTGCCAGCATGTTTTGTGTCCAGGGTTATTAACTCAAACTCATTATCCCCTTGCATACTAAATAGCCTCAGCTTGTTAACCTTTAGAATACTATGCATGCTCTTCTACTTTCTTGTGCTTTTCATGAAGGTAGGGTTTGAGTTTTGTGGTTGTTATACATATTATTAGTTATTATTAGTCAAATACAGAGGCAGCAAAGGAGAGAGGAGCAGGAGCTGGTGCTTTATCGACTAATTGAGTATTTGATGGAAATTCCATGGCTACTTTATTAGCTAATTAACCGTTACTTAACATCCATAGTTGCAACACCACTCAGGTTTTATTTTGTCTTTTTGCCAGTGGTCAGAGGTCCTCCTGGGGGAGGGGAGCCCTGTGTAAGTACACTGTGCACACTGTGTGCACAAGCCTGACAGTTGCAACAGCTTGGCATCAGAAGAAAAGCAGTATTTTACAACCTGATTCTGCAAGTGGACCATAGATGCTCATACAGAGTCCCACTGAAGTCCACCTATCAAAATCAGCTTATTAAATTGGGGCCTTAGAGCATGTCTACACTAGGAAATTATTTCGAAATAATTTACTTCAAAAGAAGAAGTTACTCACCCTGTGAAGTAACGATTGTTCTTCGAGATGTGCCCCGTGGGTGCTCCACTCCAGGTGTCAGGTCCCGTCCCGGCGCCGCGAATCGGAGAGCTATCAGAGCCGTGGTCCGCCGGACCGCGCATGCGTGGCTGCCCGAGGCGGCGTTCGCGCCTTTGA